GCAAAGCTTAATACTTGGTTCTTTCTTGTAACAGCCTGGAAAAAAGTGAAGCAAATAAGAACGAGATCATGCAGTCTGAAGAAAAGTCACAAACTCTACTATGAAAAGTGATATGCCTTAGTTGTTATTACACTTTTTTCTTGGAAAGCTCAGGGTTTTAGATATATTAAATGTACTCACAATCTTCCCATATGGCAGGGAGAAGCAGTAGCAGTAAGTCTTCTAATAATGAGCATGGAACTTGTGTGCTAATGAGTGCTTGCTTGGAAACACTGGGCCAAGGGATGCGTGCGGAAACTACCTTGGGGACACGTAGTTAGGCAGCAAAAGTTGTAACGTGGCTCCGAGCACCGCAGAACGAGAGGAAAGGACTCGAGGACAGAAAGCAGAGCCGCCCTGTGGTTGCACGGCTGCTGTTGAACCAGCCGGGTGCGCCCTAGGGCCTCACGGTCCACATTAACCCCGGGTGAGTGTGCCTTCACGGGGCAGGGCAGTTCTGTGTCAGCGTCACCTCTTTGGTCACCTCAATTCATCCCATTATACATTAGATCAAAACACTGAACACTTTTCCACAAGAGGCTGGTACTTCCACTTGCTCCCTCACGCCCCACAAAAGCATCTAGTCGTAAGCCGTTCCTTAAATAATTCACTTGACAGCAAAAGATAATGCCTGAGTACACCAGCTGGGGACGGGTGTACTCGGACAGCGAGATGGTGACGGAGGACGGCGCTGATTTCAGACAGTCCCCCACAACGACCACTGTGTGTATTCGGTATTTTCAATCTAGCACTGCAAATGCAGCAGCAGCTGTAAAGCAGCTTCGTAAAAGCAAAGTCCAATTTTAAATGACCTCACAGACATTTTCACAGCTAGTTTATACTTCAGGAGATGGTTTAATTAATATTTAAAGAGAATAATAGAGTGAAGTCCCCATTTCCTTAGATCACACCAGTCTGGGGATAGAGGGTTATGAACATGAACTGTTTCTCTGCCTTGGCCCCCACCCTCTGGTGCTGGTCCCCTTCCAAGATCCCCCACAGGTTCCCTGCAGTCACTGTCACGTACAGGGCCCTCATGTCCTCCAGCTCCAGTTCCTGAGACCGGCACCAGCCACTGACGCCGCCAGGACCAGAGAAACTGTGCCAAAGGCTTGTCATTACTGCTGCCACCAGCAGGGGCAGCCCTGCTGCCCGCAGGTCTCTGCCAGAGGAGGGTGGGGCCGAAGCTCCCGCCAGGCCGGTCATGATGCACTCAGGCCCGTGGGGCTGCAGGGGCCTTCTCTGAAGGGGGCAGCGGACGCCTCCCTCCCGTGTCCCTGAGGTTCACTCTGGGAGCACTCAGGGACAAGTTCATTATAGTCCCCAAGTCTCACAGACGTGTGTGTAAAAGCAGCTTTTGACATCGCCGCCCAAGGCTTCTCTTCTTTGATAGTCTCCACTGAATGCTACATGCCAGGCACTGCTCCCTCACTGATCCCTCCCAGCAATCCTACCAAGCCAATACTGGTAGAACTTCATTCTTCACCTTTTTCTTGAGATAAGGAAGTGGAAGCTTACAGAGGTAAGGGCCTTGCCCAAACGTGCACAGCCAGACTGTGCTGGGGCCACCCCACGCCCTGCACACTCTGACCTCCACACAGAAGGGGAGCTGCCGCAGTCTTAGCGAGGGTGCCCTACACTAGCTCCCGTTCCCCTCCTCTGACAGCTGCCACGGGCCTTCGACCAGAGAGGGCCTCAGCTGTTTATGCCAGTGGATGTTAACATTTTGGGGACCCCTTTGAGAAAACACTAAATTTTGCATACAATGTGGAGGATGGGTGGGGGGATCATGAAACCCGCAAAGCCTATCCGTGGGCACCGGCTGTGAACCTTCGCAAGAATTCTCTCAGGGAGGCCGAGCAGGCCGGCCTAGTCTCTATGCATGCTGTGGGCTGTTGGCTGGCTGCAGGACTCGCCAGGAGACAGGAAGGTGGCAAACCAGAGGAAAAGTAGGATGGAGACAGATCAGGATATCCTGCTGTGGATCCGGGCCTCTGACCACGGCAGGACCCCTCCCAAGGGAAGTCCATCCTGAAGAAGCTTCAGGAAACAGTCTGATGTGGGATTCTCTCACGTGATTTACGGGAGACTGATCTGTGATCTTCACACCCAGTGCAGGGCCTAGCACGGGCTTTGGCTGACCTCTCACCGTCCCTTCCTCCTGGGGACACACACGCATCACGGTGTCCTGCTCACACCCACAGGCTCTGAAGCCCATGACAATGTCCCTCCTCCCTTGCAGGGGGGATGGAGCAGCCACGCAACCAGATCCACATTCCAACCCCAACTCCCGCTCATCTTGGGGCTGGCTCACCTTCCAGACTGAACTTCCCCAGCTGTGAGTGGGCAGAGCCGGGTTCCGGTGGGCGTGAAATTTCCCAAGGTGCATGAACACCATGCCTGGCACAGAACATGTGCTCATCAATCATTAGTGCTTTCCATCACTCCCCAGCCCCCGGGAACATCTGCCACTGCTGCCGTGTGGGCTGGGACAGAGGGCCTCCTGGGCTGCCTGGGAGCTCCAAGCAGGGCAACACCCTTCCTGTCTCAGGGGTCTCTCTCTTGTACCATCTCAGTGGATTTAAGCTTTCTCCTCCACCCTGAGGCTGTGCCCCACCTCCACGGTGGACATCGTTACCCAAAGCTACTCTCTGTTCTGTCCTGGGCTCCTCTGCTCCAGTATAGCAATGTGCTTCCAGTTAGTTCTGGGTACGTGTCACTCCAAACCATAACACCAACAGTGGCCTCCGATCTGAAGACTAGAAAACCCTTCAAGACAAGCTGCATCTTCTGCTCTCTGCTGACCATCGCCACCTGTCCCTGAGCTGAGTCTGGCTCAGGATCTCCCTCTGGCACTACCTGGACTTAATGGTTTTCAGTTTCACCCCACCTCTCCCACACTGACTCCTGGCAGGCCCCTCACCCTGGTGTGGCTGAACCCTACAGCCAACGCCGGATGAAAGGTAAGCAAGTAATACAATTTCAGTCCAGAAAACCAAGTCTACCTGAAAGCAACGAGACTGCAGAGAGACTTCTCAGTAAGAGTCTCAATTCCCTGTCTTCTCCAGGTAAGGTTTCTGAGGCAGCTGACAAACAGGAGGGCAGAGCACAAGGATTTGGGAGGCAGAGGGCACAGCGGAGCTCAGGCGCCTCCGGACGCAGCCAGGCCTCTTCAAACTCAGCCTCGGTCACACTGGCCCTGCCAAGGACAAGTCACCTCAGCTCTGCTGCTCTGCTCTCCTGACCATAAAGTACGGTTGGCCGGGGGTGCACTGTGGAGAGGCACCTGGAGGAGGCTCGGCAAATGAGGATGCTGGGCTGTCCCCTAATCTCTTCTGAGAACTAGGACCTTTTATTTTCTTTACTGCTATTGTCAACTACTAATTGTCTAAAATAACACTCTTCTTTGAGCTCCACGCTACTTTCAGGGTCAAACTCCAGCCCCTTTAGGATGTTTTCTGCATGCCCCCAACTTCTTTGTGGTGCTCTGCACACGCCATGCTACCTGCATGCCCTTTCTCCTCTTCCTCGCTGGTCCGCATGCATCACCTCTGCCCACAGAATGGAGAGCTGCCCCTCTCTACACTCCCACGATGTCCTGTGACTCTCTGTAACCGCAGTCACATATCCTGATGACAGATGGGAATGCATCTGCCTCTCCCATAACTGGGACCTCTCTGGGGTAAGGACGTGTGTTTTCATCTACCGCCACCACCTGGCGCAGTGCCCGACTTCCCAGAGCTGACTCACCCTGTACCAATGCCTGACTCCCATGGTCCTTCACTACCTGGCCCTGCCTCTCTCCCCAGCTTCAGCTCCCTCCATCCCCTCTCCGCACTCCAGCAATACCAAGTACCTGATCTACTCTGTCCCAGCCAAACCTCCTCTCCTGCCGTCCCCTCTAGAACACTCTCCCCACGATGTGTTCAGGAAGCTAACCACTCAAGAAGTAACCCTACCATCATCCTCTCATGAGCCCTTTCCTCCACTAACGCTCATGACACCAGGCTGAGCACCGCCACCTCCTCTGCACCGCGGTCTGGGCCGGCACTCACCCATCTGTCCTTTCCCTGCAGACCGCATTTCCGAAGCTCAGTGGGCAAGTGACTTGACTAGGACCAGCCAATGGAGCTGGGGCACTGGTGGGAGACCTGGGTGGAGGGGCAGGGGGAGTTGCCCGCCCCCCGCCCCACTTCTGCAATGCTCTAGCCCCACCAAGCAGGCTCCTCCCTCAGCAGGCTCTCCCTGGAGGGCCCAGCTCCTGCCAGGCGCCTCCTTCCCCTCATTCCTCCAGCCCTGGCGTGAAAGCAGCTTCTTCCCTTGTTGCTAGTGTCTGGCTGCCTCCCCTGCCAACGTGGCTTGTCCGCTCTCCGTACACCTACAACTAGCCCCCACGTTACAGCCTCTCCTGGACTTTCAGGCACGTTCTGCCTTCAGGTCTGCGCCCTCAACAACACACTTGTAAATGTGTCATTACGCCGTCCTGTTAGCTTCTACACATTTGCACTCAGGAGCACTAGCACACAGCTTGTATCTTATTCATTTTCCTACAGAAAAACTGCATAATGTCTGAACTAAATTTTATTGAACTCAATCAATGTACTGCCGACTTAAAACATTAGAAATTTGATCCAGAAAATGTTATTTTTCCAAGTGTGGGTTTATTTCAAATTGTAAAGATTTATATATTATTTTTATTACATATAATAAGAAGCTTTGAGCTTAAAGTAAAAACTTTCACATTTAAAGTTTTTTTAAAAAAAGATATTTTAAAAATGTAGACATTTTAAGAAACAAAAAAGCTGAATACATCTTGCAGAACAGGTTGATCCTTAAATATTCACATCTCAAATGCTGTTTAGAAAAGATTAAAAAACTGGCGAAAAATCATTTACAATTGGCAGTGATTAAAGTCTCCTTATCTTTGGAAGGGCACATTAATGACACATAATGAATTTACCGTTACAAGCATTTAACAGTTTAATCAAGCATATAGTCTTTACTAGCGCACAAAATGGTCTGAAAACTGTCACAGCACTTCTTCTTGGAGTGATTATTGTATCAGTAAAAGCATACTTCACCAAAAACAGAACATCAACTTTCCAATACTTTTTTCGAAGAGTTTCTGATTTTCAACTTAGGAGAGAAGAACAGCATTTAATTACTGCGTCCCTGGTGGAAAAACAAGGAGGAAAGAACAATATAATAATCTGCCTCGAGAGCCACCTTTCAGAAAACATGCCTAAAAAGAGACAAGTGCACGATCAGCCTTTTAAATCAGAACTCAGTGCAACTCCCACACATTTCCTGATGAACTAAAACTGTGCTGAACGTCATTTGAAATCAAGAACCGAGACTCGGAAATAATTTGTTAATTTCTGAAATGGGCCTTATTTTAGGAAACATTTACCAGCACATATGCTAATCTTAATATGAAGAAATAAATTTAAATGCCAAAAGTAACCTAACAAAAGAACTAATTTTTAAAAAGAAATAATGAACTAGCTTTCACAAAGTAAAATATTTATAACTGCATCCTAAGAATTCCAAAAAAATTCATGTGATAAACCTCACTCTCCTTTCATATTTTTCTTCCAAAACAGTTTGTTTAAACTAGTACTTGATACTTGTATTCACTGAAAATTACCACTTTTACACAGACTGTTAAATGCATGCACCAATAAACTGGAGACATGGGCAGATTCCGCACGCTGCTCTCAAGTGCAGGATCCTAGACGTCCAGGGCAGGATTGGTCATTTTCCAGACACCCTGCCACGTCTGTGAGCTCAGGTGGTCCAGGAGCGGACGTCATATCCTGGTGACCTTTCCCCTTGCTGAGCAGCAGCAGAGCTGTCCTCTCTGGCCCGAGGACTGGTAAACTACCTTTGGCGCTCCTGTTCTACACCCTGCTCACCTGCAGCTGATCCTGTTTTGCTTTTTCTCCCGATACATGTTTATCAAAAAGAATCAACCACTGGAAACTGAATAAAACAGAAGGTCTACCAGTTTCCTTCACTGCTCATATAAGGCATACAATTTTGCTGTTTTTCATATACAACCTGTGTTTCCAAATTTCACAAAGAAGCAAAGCTGTGCCTCAACAGAATATTTTTCTGAATCTGCCAGATTTAAGATTGAAATTAGTTTTACTTTTCTCTCCACAAGTGAATTAGTACATTTCTCTGAAAAAATATAAGAAAATGGCAGTTACCTCTTGACATACAGAATAAATATGTTTCTACCGGCTTAAAACAAACACTTATGTATCAGATCTCATTTTTTCACTACTTCCTTTTTTTAAAGTACAACTTGTTTCCATAGTCTCCACATCCTATTTACTGAATATTTGCAGTCATGGAAGATTCCGGAATCTCCTGTCAGAATCCCCTAACTGCAAATGTTCATATGGTAAAGTAGGAGTAAATTCCCAACCTATCCATTACATGTGTTCAAATTGGTTTCACTTCATATGGCAAGCTTCTATTCATCTCATTAAAAAAATAATTTCCTTTTGGGAAGAAAGTAAAAGTCAACAAAAAACAGCCTTTTAAATAATATTCTAATGTGCAAATTATTTGCTAAAATTCATGTATTTTTGTAAAGAGAATTAGAGGACCAGAAATAACAAGATGGAATTCAAACAAGCTCACCTTGCATATGGGATGTATGATAGACTATACCTGCAAGAAAAATTCAAGTTTGTTGAAATTTAATCTAAATGACATTTTTCTTTATGCCAAATGGCCATATTCTAACACCATAAAAAACAAAGCAGCAGAATATTGCACAGTGATTCTCAAAGTATGACCCCCAAAGTCACGACTCCAGTATGATTCTCAAAGTGGACCAGCAACACCAACACCCAGGGACTTGTTAAAAATGCCAGTTCTGAGGCCCCACCCCACACCTCCTGAATGAGAAACTCGGTGTTTTGATAAACAATCTGTGTTCTAACGAACTCTCGAAGTAATTCTGATGCCTGCTAAAGCTTGAGCTTGTTATAATAAAAAGGTTACTCCTTTTATTTTTTAAAATAGAAACAAAAATGAGAATAAACTGCATTCTCCCTTAGAGATAGATGAATCGTTGAGTACAGATTATGCAATAAAAAACAACATATTATAGAACACTAAGGGATTCAATTTAAATTTTTCACATTTCACTGAAGGAAACTAAAACATCCCCAGGCAGCTCGTCCGTAACACGCAGAAAACCGCACTGATCACACGTTGATGCCCCATCCGTCAGCAGAGGCAGAAGCAGGGCCACAAGAAAGACTGATCACAGAGTGGGCCATAACAAAAAGGAGACATTTAAGACAGCAAAACCAGGACTATCAGAAGGAGCTAACAAGACTTAGCTCTAAAGAATAAGGAAAAACACTCTTAAAAATATTTTATACACGAAAAAAATTTCCTATTCTAATACAGATGTGTGCAAGGAGGGGCAGATTCAACTCAATCCCACCTTCACTGGGCCTTCCACGCAGCTGGACTGGCCGTAGTCCAAGGCATAAAAGGCTTCATGAAGGGGCAAGTGTGAAGAATGGGCATGAGCAAACACACGGAGCGAGAGGCAGAGGAAACAAAAGGCAGAGGAGCACTAGTAAACAAGGGTTTGTTCACTGATGATTCAGAAGACAGCTCCAGGTATTACAGGGCCACAGAGTCAGCATCACAATGAATTCGACTTCGTGATTATTCAGCAACACGGTACAAAGGGAATGGTGAACCATTATTCCCTTGGGCTCATCCTGTGACACAGCCTCACTTTTACGGACTCATATGTATCACCTACATTTCTTACCATTTCTCTTTCACACATCAGAAGTGACTGCATCATCATGTAACTATGTTAGCACAGCACCCCACCACTTGTGTGACCCGACCTCTCCACAGCTCTCCCTCTGGGGCCAATGAGCCATGTCCCATGGGACACATGGCAGACCTCACTCATCTGACCTCTCAGGAGGTCCGTCCCCTCCAAGGCACATGCTTATACTCAGCAGAGGAAATGCCAGTGACTTCCCTAGGACTTACAGGCTCAGAACAAAATGCTTATCACCACTTAGGACACTTTAACTTTCTAATCAGTTAAGACTTACCAGGTCATTGACAAGAACTGCAATACACAGAATAACACGGCCAGTGCCTTCTTATGCCACTAACAACAGCAAAAACAGAGAAACGACGAGTTAAGAATTTTTAAAAACATTTTTCACAACCAAGTTCAATTCCTCCCCTTCAAAAACACAGATGATAGCTCCATTTATTTTATTAAATTTTAGTATGACAAATTTAAGATTCAGTAGATCTGAAACTTAAATATCCATAAAGTACATTTCCTTTCTAAAATTCTCTGTAGCCCTTAATTTAAATACAGTCATGGGCCACATAACGACATTTCAGTCAACGACAGACCGAATATACGATGGTAGTCCCATAAGATTAGTACCATAGAGCCTAGGTGTGCGGTAGACTATGCCATCTAAGTTTGTGTAAGTGCACTCTACGATGTTCACACGACAAAATCGCCTAAAGATGTATTTCTCAGAACATATCTGTGTCGTTAAGCAACACATGACTGTACTGCTAAATATATGGCATTAAATGAATATTACCTAAATAACAGTGTATGGGGTGAAAATATTAAAACTCTTTAATGTAATATCCTTAAAGTCAATGTTAACTTTTCTAAAATCAACATTTAAAATGCCCCTTAGCTATTAGATCTATATGCTATGTCGAATTTACATATCTTACTCATTTTTACTTGCTCCTTTTCTTGAGTTATTTTTTGAAGGAAAACCGTATTTTATTGTGATCTTCCGGAACAATGTAAAGTAAAGTTTCCATGGTTGTTTTAAAATTATCTGTTTTTTTTTCGGGCCAGCCCCGTGGCTTAGCGGTTAAGTGCGCACACTCTGCTACTGGCGGCCCGGGTTTGGATCCCGGGCGCGCACCGACGCACCGCTTGTCCGGCCATGCTGAGGCCGTGTCCCACATACAGCAACTAGAAGGATGTGCAACTATGACATACAACTATCCACTGGGGCTTTGGGGGCAAAAAAAAGGAGGAGGATTGGCAATAGATGTTAGCTCAGAGCCGATCTTCCTCAGCAAAAAAAGAGGAGGATTAGCGTGGATGTTAGCTCAGGGCTGATCTTCCTCACAAAAAAAAAAAAGAAAGAGAATAAAATTATCTATTTTTAGAATTCCCTGTCCATTTTTATTTTTTATTTATTTACTTCTTTCTTTTTAATCTACTGCTTATAAATAAACAGGCTGCCTAAACCATTTTAAAACCAGAAGTCCATGTTCCATAGGGATATGCAAAAATTGTTTAAGAATATTCTTTTAAGTTATCATTGGGAAATGAAGGGTAAGTGAATTCTCACATAAAGTTTAGTCCTTACATCATCAAAATTAAAAAGAAAATTAGAACATTTTTTGAGAGAGCATTTCTGAAACATATTATAAACCACCCTTTCTTCTTTAAAATGTGCAGTTTTCCTGATAGCTCAAGAACCACCTTAAACTCTTTTGGGAAGCAGACAAGGAACAATACATAAATACAATGAAGACTTGGGAGCAGCAATAAGTCAAATGAAGTGTAATACCGCAACTTCTTTAAAGGCTAATGAAGAGCTGCTCACCATATCCGTTAAGTGCTACAAGACTAAGTTCTCACTTGTTTTGGTTTGTTTTCTGGCCCTTTCTCCTTATCAGTTTCGAGAACTTATTACACACAGTACACTCCCTCATCAGCGGGCATCCTCCCTGCCTGAGAGCTAAGGTCAGCCTGCTTAGTTAGCCCAGCAGAGACACAGACCCTCAGCAAGAGCCTCGCAAGGCCCAGGACTGACAGAGGAGCCAACCAGACCTAAAAGTAAGTGCGAACTCACCTCTGTCTGTTTCAGATGGCAGAATCTAGCGCCAAGTCTAGCCACTAACTGGATGTGACCATACACAATTTTAGGGACACCCGATCTCTGGTGGGTTTTAAGAAGTCAGACTTTGAGCTCCTTTGAGATGACGGTGTGAGGACACTTTAGCTGGTGAGGGGCCACACAGTTAGTAGAAAGTAGGCATGGTTGGTGTAACTTACCCAAAGAGCAGCACACAGGGTAAATATGAAACACAACTACAGGGAAAGAAAGAAAATTGTACGTTTGAGTCCTTTCAAAAGCTTAAGAAAAATGCATAAACTAATCTGCATTCATCTGCACGGATAATGTACTACAGAACAAAATTAAAGAGATAAATGACTCTACTTGTCCTTACATATTCCATGAGTGTTATTTAAAGTCTACAACTGCAATACTCCTTGGCAAACTGGAAGCACCTGGTAATTAATCTGTTGCTTGAGTCAACAGAAAGAACGTCTGTAGAACGATATAGAGTGACAACAGCTGTTCCTATGATGCTTATGTTAGTGTTTAGTAACAGAATACCGTCAACACAGCGTTCGGTACAACTGCTAACACACGGTAAATTCTATTTTGTTGGCTTTACATAAAGAATCTACTGGGACAACTTTTACACATCATCACCACCCTACATCCCTGTGTCCCGCAAAGACGCAGGGGAGTGAAAATGAGAGGCAGGTGACAGCAACAGTGACGGGCGGGAGGCTTGGAGACAGAGAGACCTAGGTGACATCCCAGCTCTGATGCCCAGTAGCAGCCGAGTCTCCTTGGTTAAGTTAGTTATCTGGTCTAGACTTCAGTCACCTTCTCTTTAAAATGAGGACAGTATCTAGCTACCTGCTCTACAGGGCTGTTATCATGAACAAATCAGAATTTGTCTGTAACGTGCTCCAGTTAGGGGCCGGCACTCAGAAGATGCTAAGTAAGTGGCAGTATTTTCTTTGCCATCGTTATTAGGCATCATCTTATATCAGCAGCAAATCAGACCACTTGGAAGATTCAACTGGAAACATTAGGATTCAAGTCATCACCAAAGTTACGTTACATAAATAACTAATGGCCTCTTTTGGGAAATATTTTGTTATTTCTAAATATTTGAACGGTCTCTCAGCTTTATGCTTGTTTACACAAGGTACAGTACATTGCTAAGATAGGTTCCAGGACATCCTAAATAAAACCAATCTACAAACAATCTTAGTGGAATACAAACTTCTCATAGTCCAACAGGGTCAAGTTTTCCTCTGGTAAAGAGGTGGGAGAAGACTCTCAGACACTACAGTTGAAAACATTTCCTTACTTAGAAACATACTGAGGTTAGCTGTGTTTGAAAAGCTCATTATTGGTTAGAAGAACCAACTAGCTAATGCTGATACCTAAATTCAACAACATGCTTTAAGGCAAGAGACACAGAACAAGACGTTAGGAGCCAGAGGCTCGGTAGAGAGGGGACCTTGGGTTCCTCTGCCCATAATACCCCAAACGATGATCAGCTAAGAATCCAACATGCATGATGATAAAACTATGTTTCTAACCCCGAGTATACCCCTCCCCTGTTCAAAGATAAAGAGAACATTGAACTTAGGAGTGATGACCTGCCGGCCAGGTACAGAAGCTACAATATGATGAACAGTACACTTAGGGCATCGCTCCAGAAGCCACGCTATTGGAAGTAGAAGTATAGTCCTGCACCGCATAGCCACATCTCGGTTGACAACAGACTGCATAGATGACGGTGGTCCCATAAGATTAGTACCATACAGCCTAGGTGTGTAGTAGGCTGCACCGTCTACGTTTGTCTAAGTACACTCTATGATGTTCACACAAGGACAAAATGGCCTAAGGAGGCATTTCTTAGAACACATCCCCGTCATTAAGACTACATGACTGCAGTCAAACAGGGACGGGACAAAAGCCAGGTGACAGGCTACTTCGATTCAGCCAACTTGCTCTGAGAAGACTCGAATGGAACCAGAAGTGACCTGTTGTCCAGTCCCACCCTCCAAAGGGCACACACAGCAGTTCATTAAGAAACACTCGACAGGGCTTGAAAATGAAATACATCCAGCTCTAATCGTCACTTTAAATACACAGAGCTACAGTGTTAGACACATGCAACAGAAAGCAGGATGCACCCAGCCAGGCACTCCAGGTTATACCGTACAATCCAAACTCTTTAAACACACAGGCTTACGGATATGATTATTATATTCAACAAGAGAAATATAACAATAGCACATACATAAGAGGGGGCCATTATTTGTAAAAAAAAAAAAATGCAAAAAATACTTCAATAAAAGGTTTTTTTAAATTTTCATTATTTACTTACAAGCATAACAACTGTTGCAAGCAATCTTGTTGTTTCAAACATTTTCTTCAGTTGCTTCATGGGTCCCATTAAAAAGCATGTACTATTTGAAACAAATAAGAGAACTAAGAGATGGCTCTACCAATTTATCTGGCTATATAAAAATAAATGCTTTTGAGAAAAGAAAAGAAATCCTATGTTAGTTTATTGATAAAAATCTCTCACTAAATCTGCTTTCTTTTTCCTTAGTATTAAAAGGAAACCTTAATCTTTCAGTTTTCTGACACATAAACGCCTTTTTACAAATTATTCGTAGCATTGTTTATAGCGACAGGTGAACATGACAGCAAAGTGACCCTAAACGACAAGGGAGTGTGTTTTCAGTCTGTGCCAGCCCAGTCACCACCTCTTGATCTCCATGCACATCACCCGTCAGAACAACAAAAACCAGCGCCACGGGGAACTGTCAGTCAGACAGCACAACATCAAGCTGCTCCCCCATGCTTCTTCCCGACCGCAGCCTGAGGGAGAATCACTGCGGGGACGAGCCCAGGAAAACTGCCTGAGCGTGGCCCTGGCTCATGCACGTTCACTCGACAATACCTCTGATCCAGAAAACTCCTGAGGAAATTGAAGGTCACCTCTGAAAGCTAAGTGCACACAACTACTCCAACAGACACCAACACAGGCAAAGCTGCACCAAAAGTCCTCAGAGAGGATTCCCAGAGCGCCCAATCCAAGTGCTGCCGGGGCCGGGTGCTCGTCAGCTCTCTGACGTCTCTGTTTGGCACTGCGACCGTGAGGTCTCCTTCCGGCTGGTGGGCCGGTCAGCTCCCTCGCTGAGACGCGGGCTTCACAAGAGCAGGGACTGGGCGCGGCAGTGCTAAGCCGGAGCTCCGGAGGACTGTCTGGTGAGAAGCCGGCCTGTCAACTTCTAGGCACATCACCAGGCGGGGACTCACCCTCTCTGCACCACCACCCCAGCCATAAGGTGGGGGTGATGACAGTGCCCACCTCGTGAACTGGGGTAACAGATACAGAACACTTAACAGAGTCCCTGGACACAGTAAGTGCCCCCAAATGCTGGCCATTCCTGCCACTGACTCTCTGTCTATCGTGGCAGCTGGCACATAGCAGGAGTCAACACATATTTATTGAATGAACAGAAATTTTCTGGCTGAATTCATGGTATGAATAGAGCTAGAGAAATATATCCTGTTAGGACAGTGCTAATTAGAAAGGAAAAGTTTTATAGCTATAGCAAACAAAACATTTTTAGAAGCCAAACTTCTACACATACCTGGCTAATGCAGCAATATTTCCAAGGGTATAAAACAGTGCAAAAAGTTTTATGCCGCCAGGAACCCACAGCAATCCAGTTCCCTGAGTTAAGATATTACAGTTATTTAAAAACAATTTTACCACTGTAATGGCTTAAAATATAAATATGCTACAATAGTAATACTATAAATATTTTATAATATAAAATTTAAGTATAAATGTGCTAGTATATAGTCTCTATATAGTTTAAAAAATCAGTTAATTTTGAATGTTATTTGCTAATTTTAATCTTCTGCCTATTTGCATATAAGTACATATAAATGAGACATAACATAACCTTCTGTATACATGTGAGTAAATCTCACTCTACAAATTAAATATTCTTTTTAAATGGCAAGTTAAAAAATAATTAACATATCTAAATTACTGATTCTGCAGCTCTCTTAACACACGTTGACTTTTGTTAAGTAAAATTATTTTAACAATTCATATAACCCCCCAAAATATTAATTTCTACATCTCTGTATTGATCCCTAACCCCTTATTTCAGGTGATTAAACACACCCCATCAAAATTGTCTCCCAGCAATCCAGATAAAGTGGACTGCCTGTTGGTACTGAATGGAATTATCAGTCTGACACAAAATAAAAATTATTAAGCAATATAAAGCCTTAACTCACAAGGATAGAGAAGAAAATGCCGCACACGAAGCATATGGCAAACCACTTCAACCTGGTGTTGAAACTAAGGGACGAGGCATCCAGGACCTTAAGAAAGAAGGGAAATTAGAACATGTTCTGAAGTCGCCATGTACCAATCTAATTCTTTACACTAAATTAAGGCAAAGTTTCATTTTAACCTATATGATGAATCTTTATTTTGCATACCATAGTGTCGTTTATTAAGATAATAAATATCTTAATAATATTTATTAAGATACATTAATATTAAGATCCTAAGGTTGTGAAGGGAAATGTGAACGTGGTCTGGGAATCAGAGGGCCCTGCGGAATCACTGTTCACTGTGCCAGATGTGAAAACAGCACCGTGTTCACAGATTTACAAAGCCCCTACCTGTCAGGAACAGCAGGTGCACACTGATGTGGATGAAATGACCTAATGTGTGAGATATATTATAAAATACTCGATGATTAAAAATATAGGGGAAAGATGAAACAAGACAGGTAAACTACTGCCAAGTGTTAAGGCTGGATCCGGATACACAGGGCTCACCATCCCTACTCTCAACTGTCTGTCTGAGGTCGCTGAGGCGAGGTCCCTAGGGCGCAGAGCCTGAGATGGGGGTCCTCATGCAGGAACTGCTCTCAGGAGAAACCTTGAGGGAAGTGAGGGAAGCTGGACAGAGATGGGGAAGGATGGAGCAAGGATGTGGTTTCAGGGGGAGCTCAGCTGGGCCTGCAGTGTAAACTGCAATTCAGTGTCAGCCCTGCCTTGAGGCAGGGGGCTGGCCCCTGGAACCCACTCCTGTCAGGTGGTCACTGGCTGTAGGCTGGGGGCAGGGCCAGGGTAACTGTAGGACCTCCAGGGTGAACAGAAGGGTACAGCTGTGAGCCGAGGGGGGATGGGCACACCCTCCTAATGACAGGGACCTGGGCAGATACCAGTAGTGTCACCATCAAATACATTTGACAACTTCCATTATAAAAAGTTCATTTAAGACCAACTTATGAAAACTTGGGTAGCTCCTTAGCCATTATTAAAAACACATTTTTGCAATGACAGTTTATTCTCAAGCAACAACATTCCTGTATGCCATGCAAACTCTAACCAAATTATGTGGGAAAAAGGTAAAAATTACTGTGTATACTTTATACAGTACAATAATCCAGGATGCAGTCATGATTAAGTAGACACATTTACTTAGTACACATTACTGAGTACACTATTGAAACTTATTTTCTCAATATGGCTGAAAAAGTATCAACAGCTGTTTCAAGAAGCTAGAAATATACATTAATAATTTATATACCAAAATTAAAATAACTTATATACCACATACACTTAAAAATAAGACCACATGCTTATAATGTATTTTTAAGAATAATGAAGCAAAAATAAAAAGTTTTATAAGCAAAACCTCAAAATATCTTTGGTTAGAATCCTTACCTCAAGAGATTAATCTGTGAATCCTTATGTAGCATGAAAAGTAGATAAAAATAACTAAAGTTATGATGTCACTGTAACATAAATCACTTTTTAACATATTTTAAATGTTTTTTAAAAGTTGCCTTAATTCACAGACATTCTTGTTTCCAGCAATCTCACCTGTTTATAGCAAAACTGATCACTGGATTTTAAACAAAGAATGAACTTGCCTATAAAAACATCTAAATTTCATTCTTTCTGATCAGGAAGAATACACATCGAGTATATTTTAACCACACAGAACAGAATAAACCCTGAGGACTGCACATTACATAGGAATGACCTACTGGCTCGTAAAGAGACGGGAACAGTATCCTAAGTAGGCGTGACTTCTAAATGGTCAGCGTAAGTGCACCATAGTGTGAGAAGGGCTTAATGAGAGAGGAAAGCATCTATTTTTACTTTTTTTTCCACAAGTTTAAATCACCCATTATTCATAAGTTCAATTTTTGGTTTTCAATAGCCAGTCTCTTTTTCTCTCAGCATGGTTATTTGTGCTTATTTTCCCCCTTATTACCATCTCGCACATGCTGATCTTTAAAATGAAATGTATAATGAATTACTTCCTTTTGTAAATATGGAATATTCAATCCACAAGCAAATGATTTGTCTCAAATCTTGCAAATTGTCCTGGATGCAGAAACAAATCACAGATCTCCTAAGTCCTAACTGGGCAGATTATACTATGCTTCACCATGCAGAGAACCTGTCTCCTCCCGCAGAGACAGAAGGAACTGGATGCTCCAGGCCCGCCTTAGCGCAAGCATTTAGAAGCCACGTTCTTGTCTGACCGTGATCAGGAACGAGCCCACCAAAACCACCAACTGTGTTGAGTTCTTAAATGTAGTCTCAGAAAAGAAATATACATTGACATTGCTACCAATTACTTCACTTATTTGTTATCAAAGGAAGAGGAAGCAAAGAGAAATCTCCGGAGAGCAGGAGCGAGACTCGCCCATTCTCTGGTGTCCTCTTCGTGCTGCAGTAAACAGCACCACCTGGAACTAGAACTTGATTAATTTAAAAAACTAGTTGAAAACGTAATGGAGGAAAACATCATCGCAGCACCAACATTACAGATGAATGAATGAACCCACGGCACAGCAGACACTCGCTTCTTTCCTACAGTGATGCAGAAGCCAGGAGGAGATGGACCTTATGACAGAGGGGACAGCTGCAGAGGCCTGAGCCTTGACCACGGCTACCATTTGAATACAGGAAGCACAGTGTGGCTTTCAACTAATGAAAGCACTGAATGCAGTATTCCTAAAACTCTTCTTTCAAAACGATAGCAGTGTATAAAAAGATCAAAATGAGCAGACAGCACAAGAAACAGGCATCCACAGACCCTCTTCAGTTGAGTCCTCACCCACCTCCTCAGACGTCCTGCTCCTTACTCGGCCACTCCCCTCACCAGGAGGCTCACACATTAACAGCCACCCCGCCCTCCTCATTTCCATCACCTACTGCTCTCTCTGTCCTTCTCTCCCACTCACGACCCCTGATCACAAGTCCCACTCCGGATCCAAGCAGAGTCTTGGATGATTTCAACGTCAACACGGACAGCCTGGCCTTTCTGTTCCTTGTCCCCTAATCTCAACGGTCTTTCCCCTCCACTCCACTCAGTGACCCAGGGCACTCTTACTACCCAAAATTACTCCATCTCCAAACTGGAAGCTGCTGCTCTCCGACCCCACCCCGATACCCTCCCGGTGGCACGGATTCAACTGCTCCTGCCTCGACTGCTCTGCAGCCTCTTGGGCCCCTTTATCCAGCCCACCAATCCTTCTCCTTCCTTTTCTGTGCAAATTACATGGCACCTCACATCACTGAGACATTTAAAATGCCCTTTCTACTGCATCCATCTGGGAAAATCCCACCATAACTAAAGCCCTCCTTCCTCTTCCTCTGGGCGGAGTCCCGCAGCAGGACAGGGCATCATAACCTGGTCAACATCAACGGCAAACAGGCCCTGGACACTGCCTGCCCAGCAAGCTGACGTGCGCTGTTGTTTCTAAGTCAACCTGCCTTCTTGCCCTACCACCCACTGACTATTTCAAACCACCTCCAGTTCAAACCTCCAGTTCTGGCCCTGACACTTCCACTCTCAGCAGACGACTTCCCCTATTTCACACAGAAAACGGAAGCTGGCAGTGGGAACTCCCTCCACTGCCTGTGGCTACCACCACCAAGCCCACATCAAGAACGTCCTCTCTTTCCTCGGATTACTGCAGAGGGGCTAAAGTCAATCCGTCTACCTGCTGTAGATCCCAACTCTCTGACCTTCTCAGGATCTTACACAATCTCCAACGGTGAACCACACTCTCTCCCTGACACATTTCCCTCATCCTTTAAACATGCTTAAGCCTCTTCCATCTTAAACAAACACAAAGCTCGCTTCATTTTACCCTCCAGGCTCCGCTCATTCATTTGTCTGTTCATCCAACCAACACCTCCTGAATGCTCCTAGGTGCTTGTTCTAAGTGCTGGGTGAGGTCCAGCTCGTCATTAAAAGCTGTCCTGGGGTAGGCTGCCCTTCCACGGCAGGCTTGGTGCACAGCCCATGCATCGCCATCTCTGACAGCAGCTGCAGCCAAGGACTCAGCCCTGGCCAGTCATGCCCTCTCACACATCTCATTCCCAGCCCCGGGGCCCCCACTCCAGGGTTTCTTTATCTGAGGCCCTGGGCAGAGTTCTTCTTCTGCTGAGGCCTCCTCACAGGGGATGAGGGGACCTTGAAGACACTTGTCTCCTCTCTGACTCAGTCCACTCTTTGTCTTTCCACTTGCCCTCCTCTCCTGACCTCAGGGTCCATAAAACTGCCCGAGCCTCTTGTTTGGGGCTCCCTCAACAGCGAGATGACCCCCACATCTTTGCTGATCCATCTGGCCCCCAACCAGTGTCCATTCCATGGGGGAAAATGGAACCCAGGGGAGTCAGCACTTCCTCCCGTTTCAGCCTCTTGCTTATACCATTGCAGAAAGTGACTTAAGGCTGAATCAGCCCTTTCGTTTTTGGCTTGTTGCTCTGATCAGCTACTCCGATACCTGACGGCCCAGCTCTCTCTCTCCCAGCTCGGCTGAGCTCCAACATGGGTAATATAACAGTGAACACGGTAAGATCACTATCTTCAAACAAGCAAATGCCTGTACAATAGAACATCAGGTGTTCTAAGTGCTGTGAAGAGAATCTAAGCAGGTCAAAGGGTGGAGAGCAGTGAGGCAGGCACTACTTTAGACTGGACCGCCTTGCTAGAGGCCCTTCTGGGAGGTGACACAGAGACCTGACTGAAATAAGCAGTGAGCCAGCAAACATCAGAGAGCGCCCTCCTCATCCCGCCAGACCTCCTCCCAGGGCCATTTCTCGACTCGCACTCTAGAAACAAGCGCCTGTCCCCGGTGTCGGCTCCTGGCTTGGGAAGAGCCAGCACAGGTGAGGCCCAGCAGGCAGACCCTGAGAGCTGATGGGCTCCCGCCTGCCCATGCACACTCTCCTTGAGCAATCTAGCTCCCCCACTCACCCGACTAGAATCCTTCAGACAAGAGAGCAACTTCCCTGCCCTTCATTCCAGGGGACACTCTTAAGACTCCAGTCTCCCTTCCCTCTCACCCTCACCAGAAACTTCACCACCGTCCCCCTCGCCCCCCACTGGAAACATTCTCTTCCACCGGTTCCTTCAGAGCGCTCTCTTCTGATCTGCCTTTGGTGCAAATCAGTGCACTTTTGGTGCAAAGCAGCAGTGCAGGCTGCTCCTTCTGTGTCTCCTCTTCATCTTATTTCGCTCCACCAGTAAATGAAATGTTTCTTTCTAAGGCTTCCCCTCGCCCTTCTCTATACTTCTCCCTAAACAATCTCATCCGTGTCCACAACGTGAACACAGGGAAACAGACATAAGGCAGGTATTACACTTGCAATAATTTAAGTGAGAAAGGTAGAGAGAGAGCTTAATTTGTATAACAACGGGTATTTTTCTCCTTACTATCTTCCACATGATCTTTAAAATGAAACATCCTAACAAATTGTTTCCATTTGTAAATACTCAAATCCATAAGGTATATTCAATCCACAAGAAAATAGCCTGTCTCAAACCATGCAAACTGTCTGTTAAATAAAGGTGGTGGGGGTTCAAATAAGAGACCTCTGTGGCACGTTCACACCTTACAGCCTTGCCATGTAAGTACCAACTAGTGCCTTATATCCATGTCCTCCTCTCTCCTCAGTACTTGTCCAAACCCAAACTAGTCATTCATTCACTTGCTCAGCAAGGATTTAAGAACAGATATTATATGCCAGGTACTTGGTAGGTTCTGGACATACAATAGGGAACAAGACAGAGAAGATTCCAGCCCTTACGGAGATACATTCAAATGAGGGAAAACAGATTACAGCCCAAGGTAAGTTCTGCAAGGAAACAGGATAGATTAATTGGAGATCAGGAAAGCCGCCTCTCTGAAGAGGTGGCTGAGAGGAGGCAGAAGGAAATGACAAATGCAATCCTGAAGAGCCACGTTAGGGGCATCCCAGAAAAAAGAAATACAACCGCCAAGTCCCCCAAGAAGATAAAAAAAAAAATGGCTTAGACTGGGAAAGAGAAAGCTGAGGGATCACAGGGACCCTGGCAGAGGGTGGCGTGAGGTGAGGTGGAGCCATAGGCAGAGGCCAGGCTGTGCAGAGGTCTGCGGTGCCATGAAAGGAGTCTGGATTTTATTCCACGTGCTATAGGAAGTCATATGATCTGACTTGACTCTTTAAGACCTGGCTCAGGTCAATCCCTCCTTGACATCTCCTCAGAGCTCTCCTAAGGAGGGGCCCCAGAACTCTGGCTACTCTGTCTTCCCCCTGGCCTACAAACCACCCGAGCAGGGGATGGAGCAGCCCCAGATCTCAGGATGCTCCCCCACCAACACTCACTGCCTCGCCAAACTCCTCAATCTGTCCCCAGCCAATCTCATCAAGCCCTACGTCACTCCCAGGACACTCCCACCCATCCCTAAACACCAGCAAACTCCCTAACTTTCATCCTCTTCTCTGACCATTCCCCACATCCTTCTCTGTCTGCAACCGGGTCTCCCCTGCACCCTCTCAAGTGGGGCCTGTCTTCTTGCCCACACATCCTTACCACTGGGACAAGAGGGGGTCTAGGTGAACACCCTCCTCCTCATTGCTGCTTCCCGTCCCTTCCTCTGCCCCAGAAACATCTGCTTTCAAGATCCTGCCATCACACTAGCCATCTGCTGCTCCTCCTCACTGCGTTCCCCACCACCCCCAGGTCACACCTCCCCGGGTCACCCTCCTCCTTGGTCACACCTCCCTGGGTCTCATCCTTCTCACTTCTCGTTCTTCTACCTCATTCTTCACCCTTCTCTTTCACATCTCTCGTTACTATTTATGGGTTCTTGTGTTACCATTATGATTTGCCAAACTGGTTATAGAGTTCAGTGAGAGGAGACGCTTCTCTTCTAGTCTCTGAACCCTCACACGCTAGCCCAGATTCTGCCCACAAGAGGTGCTGAAAAAATATGACAGGGAGAGAAGCTAGGAAAGGGGACAAAGAAAAGATCCTTACATCATAGTCTTCGATTTTAAGTGTTCCACTTCTGTGACCAGCAAACAAGAATTTGTGAGGATGCAAATAACAAAAATACTTAACAGAGCAGTCCCCGCTCCACTCCTATTTTTAACCCTCTCACTAGAGGAAGTAACTCTTATCAAGTCTCGTGGGGAAAGCACAGAGACAAGGGGGTTTTTCTGTTTTTGTTTTTTTAAATCTCTTACCAGGGCTCAATGCCTCAACAGACAACCTTTAATTCAGTATTATTCCACTTCTCAATGACCTGCTTTTTTCTCTCCAGTCTCCCTACTTCCAAAAGACACACACACACACACACACACACACACACACAGCACCTCATTTACCTCCAGGGGCAAACGGATGCAAGGAAACTTTAAGATTTCGGCTTTCTGCGGTCGCAGGACGAAGGATCTGCACACCTACTGGCGCTGCACAGCGCGTGCACACGAGGCGCAGAAAACCAAATCGGGGTGGCTGAGAGGAGCGTGGGGCAGAGGGGAGACGCGCTACGTGGTTCCTAAGAGTCAGAAGACCCAATGGGGGGGGGAGGGGTCTCAAAGGGAGCTTCTGCAGACTCCACGAAAACCTGGAAAGCTCCCCAGACTCTTGCCGTGGGGCGCGTGGAGCCCTCCAGCATCAGCTGGGGTTAGAGGAGGCCCCGCTCCCCACACGCGCGGCCCCGCCCGGCACCCGTTCGCCCCGCTCCGCCTGTCCCCGCAGCGCCCGGGGGTCGGGGGCGCTGGGACCGAGGACGGCGGCCGGGTGGTTGAGGGTCAGGCGCTGGGACCGAGGATGCCGCCCGGGGACGGGCGCGGGCTCGCTACCTGCGCGGTCAGGCCCTGCTCCTCGTCGTCCTGGCCGCTCAGGACCCGCCGCAGCTTCTCCATGGCCCTGCTTCCCCGGCGCAAGGGCCACCACAAGCTCGCCGGCCTCTCGAGCCCACCAAGAACCCGGGAAGCCGAAAGCAGACACCACCGGGGCGAACGGAAGCGTGGACCCGCCCGCTTCCGGCGCGCCGGCGCGGCCCCTGCGGCTGCCGTAGCGGCGAGCGCGTGCGCACTGGGGCTCCGCGGGCCGTGGAGGATGGGACGGGGAACTGTTGCTGCGCTTGCTCTCCGCGGGTCGGCTGGTTGGAATTGGTCACGCGGGGACGCAGAGCAGCGGCGGGTCCCCGGTGCTCGGATTTCAGCAGTCGCTGCCTCCCCATCCACTGGAGTCGGGACACGGCGGGCGACAGCCATTGCATGTTGGATACTGAACCCACGAACGCACATCCTCACGAGGGTTCTCGACGCTGGGTGCCCAGACCCGCGTCCAGTACTGCAGACCCACGTCCAGTGCCCAGACCCACGGCCAGTACTGCAGACCCACCTCCAGTGCCCAGACCCACGTCCAGTACCCAGACCGACGTCCAGTACTGCAGACCCACCTCCAGTACCCAGACCTGCGTCCAGTACTGCAGACCCGCGTCCAGTGACCAGACCCACGTCCAGTACTGCAGACCCGCATCCAGTGCCCAGGCCCACGTCCAGTTCTGCAGACCCGAGGTCCAATTCTGAAGACCTGCACGCCTACCGCAGACCCGTGTCCAGGCCTGCAGACCTGAGGTCCAATTCTGCAGACCCACGTCCACTGCTGCAGTCCTGACTTCCAGTGCCACAGACTCCACGTTCAGGCCTGACACCAGGAGGAGGAGAATCCTGGGTGCCAGTTTGGGAACACTGGCAGGCATGGGTTCAGTTCTAAACTGAACACTTCCTTACCAGGAGCAAAGTTCTCAAAATATCTGCTTGGAAGGAGTCAGGGAGGGAAGGGCAGGCTTTGGGGACAGGTGGTTCTGTGCCCTGATTTCAGCCCTGCCGCTGCTGTGTGGCATTGGGGACTAGCCATCTCCCAGCCCGGGCTCCTCATCCGGGCGTGACAACACCTACTTTTCAAGGTTAAGTGAGAATACACTTCAAATTATCTCAGAAGAAATAGCAGGAGGCTGCCTTATTCCTTTTTACTTGTGAGAGGTATTTATTTACTCAGTTCATCTTCCAACTAGGAATTTGAAAGAGTGAAACTCTACTTATAAGAGGAATAGCTAAGCCAACCCACCTTTCCAGTTTTGTATAAACACTGCAAACCTTTGAACAAGTGTTTACTGTTCTCTGGCCAGCGCTGGGTGAACAAACTCTAGCAAATGGGGAAGTGGCTCTTTTTTTTCCTTTTAGTCTCCACCATGCTAAGGAGAGATTAAAAATTAGGGCTGCCTGTAAATAGGAATTCCAGAGAATCTTGGAGTTGTCCATAAATATACTACTCCAAGGTCATCAAGTAATAGGTTGTGCTTTTCGGTTTGGTAAGACTGTAATGAAAATGTCTATTATTTTGTTTTATTACATCACCCACTCTATTCCTTCCTAAAATCTGACAATTAAAAGGTGGATCCCCAAAGGCTTTTATTGTCCTTCCTCCTGCCTTCAGTGGAGATTTTATCTAATCTCAGTTAGATGAAAACAGATATAAGACCCCAGAAAAGCAGATAATACACTCGCTCTGATAAAACAGTCCAATGCTCAACATCTTTTGGTCAGAAAGTACTTATATTTGGTCTATTTATACTAGAGTGTGAGATCTTGTCCTTTTGTCCTTAATTTTAAAAGATCAGAAAGTAGATGATAAACATCTGCTGTAAAACAATAAAGCTTTATGCTTTTATTTAATAAAAGTACATATATACTTTCTTTAAAGATTTTCCTTTTTAAGTTTTCCAGATGCAAAAAGATGAAATCAACTGATATTTCTAGTAATAGAGAGAAAGATTTCTAAGGATATATGAGGTTGAACCATGTAAAATACCAATGTTAAACTATTTTTAACCTGAAAAGGTCAATTTCCTATGTTTCATCTTATACTTGGGTGCAAGAAATTTTACTTAGAAATAATACTGAAGATTTAGGAATGTGGTTTGGGCCTTTTCACCTCTCATACCCTATTAGCTGAGCTCAGTTTCCTGAAAAATACTGCACAAAGTTTATTGCAGGCATAACCCTTATGGAGACTGTCAAATGATTAAGGGTCTGGAGTCACACTGTCTGGGTAAGAATCCTGGCTCTGCATTTTGTAACTGGAATTTGGGGCAAATCAACCTAAACTCTTTCTCTTTCCCATTTGTGAAACGAGGTGGCGACAGCTCCCACCTTGCAGGGTTGTTAGGAGGATTAAATAAAACAGTGCTACAATCGATCCTCATTCTTCCTTACATTTGCAAATTTGCCCAATTGCCAAAATGTGTTAGTAACCCCCAAATCAACACTTGCAAACACTTGCATGGTCGTTCAAGGACGTGCAGAACAGTGAAAACTTGGAGTCACTCAAGGCACATGGCCCCAGCTGAGACGGGACGAGGCGATGTTCTGGCTTCTTGTCTCAGCTCTCACACTGCAAACAAGCACCTTTTTCATGGTCTACTTAATACCGCGTTTTTCACATTTTTGTGGGGTTTTTTTGGTGATTTCACCTTTAAAATGGCCCCCAGGCCTAATGCTGAAGTGTGGCCAGTGTTCCTAAGCACAAGAAGGCTGCGATGTGCCTTACGGAGAAAATACGTGTTAGAGAAACGTATTTCAGGTATGAGTTATATAGTGCTGATGACTGTGAGTTCAGGGTCAGTGAGTCAACAATATGTATTAAATAAGGCGTCTTTACACAGAAACACACATCAACAGGGGTATGTGTTTGATCGGTTGAGGAAAGTGTAGCCAGAGGCTGGCAGGAACCCCACCTGTATTTCTCTTAGGGGCAGGGCTTCAGTATCACTAATTCAGTGTTTGTGGCAAAAACTTTATCAAATGTAACTACTGCGAATAACAAGAATTGACTGTATGTGTAAACACTTACCACAGGGCCTACCGTGTGGTAGAAATGCTGGGTTTTGTGATTAAAATAATTTCCGTTGTTTCATCATGTATAATTTCTGCTCTGGATCCCCACCTCCCTTCCCATCCTAGTGAACTATTGAACAGTCCATAAGGAAACCTAAAGTGAGTCTTTACCTCTCTCCCATAAACCTAGAAAAAAATTTAAGTAGCTTCCTATTCTCTTCCTCTTCCTGCTTCTCAGCTGTGTAGCTTCCTAGAGCCAGTGACCTTCCTGAAGATGGGCAGCCCAGGCAAAAAACAGGAGGGAGTTCCAGGTGGCAAGAGGCAGGGCGCTTGAGAAAACGAGCCTTTCCCCCACGCTGGGATGAGCGCATCTCCGGCCCTGCTTTCCTCCAAGCTGCCAAAGGGAGAGTAACAGACCCTGGCCTCCACGCCTGAAACCAGCCCCTCCTCCCTCCCCTCACCTCCCTCTCTTCACCTGGCTGCAGGAAAGCAGGAGCGAGCGAGGCAAAGACAAGCTCAAAGAGAAGAGCCCTGGTCAGCGAGACAGAGATCTTCCCCCCTGGGGGAGTGGGCTGTCGGGGGCTGGTGAGTGTGGTCCTTTCCACAGGTAAGCCCAGGCCCAGCCCACCCCCTCAGATGTGACACTCCATCCCACATCAGGAACTCTGCCCCCAACCTCGTGCACAAAGCAGCACCCCTTACACCAGCTGACGTGGTGAAAGGAGCTCGGTTCCCAGAGGGTTTCTTAGGAGGGGAACATCAGGAAGGTATGTGGGAACCTTTCCCCAATGGCAACATTTTAAGCATTTTGGAGATAATATAGAACCTTTTAAATTTCCTATTCCCATCTCTAAGAATTCATAGAGTACTTGGTAGAAAATGTTGAATGTATCAAACACTCTCAAGTGATAACAGGTAGGAAATGACCCTTGAAATTGAGCCCCTGAGCAATTAGAAGTACCTTAGGAAGAGTGCAGAGCCCACGAATTTGGGATAGATTTAATAAGATTTAATCACTGGTCATTTCCTATGTCTCATAAGTGCCTTAATCACTTCTCTGGATGTGATAGCAAATCTTGGTACAAAAAGTAACACAATAGCTTTTCCTCCTTAAGGACTGAGGCCCAGAATGCTTTGTGAATGAACAAAGTCGTTGTCCATCATCAGTGTGTTGCCATGGTTACCTGGACTCACAGCAAAAGAGCAGAGGGAGCGAGGCGCCTGGGCAGAGGAAACAGGCCTGGTTGTCAAGGTGTGGGAGGGCAAGAAGAAATAGGGATACTTGCTCAGAAGAAAGATGACTCAAATGAAGAGATGAGATGAACCTTTAGCAACACACGGGCTTAGTTCTGATTATGCTTCTTATTTTTCCAAAGAGACCTTAATGCTTTTCTCTCACGTTTCAATGTTTCTGTTGCTGACACCATCCAGAGAAACAAAGTGAACCGCTCTGACAACCGCTGGGTAAAGGGGAGAGGAGGGAAGTGTCAGGTTAGAACAGAAAGGGGGCGCCATCAGCCCACTCCCATCTAGGGCAGCAGGGCTATTGAGAGGACCATGGGCCAACCCTGCCCTAAGGGAAGGCAGACATGTAGGCAAATAGATTACACAGGGTTTGACCACGCCCACAATCCTGGTAGACACAAGGCACAGAAGTGGCCAACATCAGCCCCAGCTAACTCTTCCAGTCTGGCCCATTGAAGCCATTCTCCACTCCATGGGGGTGGAGGTCATTTTAAATCTGTTCATCTCGGCCGGCCCCGTGGCTTAGCGGTTAGGTGCGTGCGCTCCGCTGCTGGCGGCCCGGGTTCGGATCCCGGGTGCGCACCGAGGCACCACTCCTCCAGCCATGCTGAGGCCGCATCCCCCATACAGCAACTAGAAGGATGTGCAGCTATGACAGACAACTACGTACTGGGGCTTTGGGGGAAAAATAAATAAATAAAATCTTTAAAAAAAAAAAAAAAAAATCTGTTCATCTCACTCCCCTGCTTAAGCACCTTCAATGACTCCCCCGTGTCCTCAGAATAAAGGACATAATAATAATAATAAAGGACATAATAAATTAGCACAACACACAGAGCTGGTGGATGCAGCCTCAGCTCTTCTCTCTAGTCTCATGCATCAC